TTTTTTTTTAGACAGAGTCTTGCTCTGTCACCCAGGCTGGGTTCAAGTGATTCTTGTGCCTCCCGAGAGTAGCTGGGACTACAAGTGCATACTACCACACCTGGTTAATTTTTGTACTTTTAGTAGAGACAAGGTTTTGCCATGTTGGTCAGGCTGGTCTCAAACTCCTGGCCTCAAGTAATCTGCCCACCTCGGCCTCTGAAAGTGCTGGGATTACAGGCGTGAGCCACTACACCCAGCCTCAGGAAGGATTCTTAATCCAGTAATAAGCTCTATTTTTCCTGTATTTTTTCATCTTTCCAGACCTTTACTGTAAATAATACCTCACATTTGTAAAGCACTGGAAAGGCTCTTCCTATATTATCTCAGAAGCGCTGTGTATGATTTTCACAGTGGTCAGGTTGCAAAACCGTCCCATCTGTGACACAGTTCTGAATTGAAAACCTAAAGGATGTTTATTCCTTTTAAACTGAAGATGTCTTGCAGGTAGAGGCTATTTCTTGTGTATCACTGCATCCTTCACAGTACATTTGAAATCACTGCATTTTAAGTATGTTGCTTTCAGGAAATAGTAAGAAATACGCTTTTCCTGAGCCAAGAGAGTGGTAGAATTCATCCTTCTTGCCTTCAGGAATAAATTTCAAGCCACCCATACACAGAATTTGAGTCTTTTTTATTATACAATTAGCTTTAAAATCACTTTAAATAAAACACCAAAATGAAAACTGATGCTTTTTTTAGAGTAAACATCTGAACACTTATAGAAATTTTAAGCCATCCATATAACATTTTAAAAAAGAAATCCCAAATATTATGTTACTCAACTCTTACATACCTCAGAATGCATCTCTAAATAAAATCAATACTTTCTTACAAAATGATTATCACCTCCTACAAAATTATCAAAAATTCTTTGTTATTACTAATATTCAGTCTTTTTTTTTGAGACGGAGTCTCGCTCTGTTACCCAGGCTGGAGTGCCGTGGCACAATCTCGGCTCACTGCAACTTCCACCTCCCAGGTTCAAGCGATTCTCCTGCCTCAGCCTCCCGAGTAGCTAGGATTACAGGCATGCACCACCATGCCCGTCTAATTTTTGTACTTTTGTAGAGACAGGGTTTCACTATGCTGGCCAGGCTAGTCTTGAACTCTTGACCTCACATGATCTGCCTGCCTCAGCCTCCCAAAGTGCTGGGATTACAGGTGTGAGCCACCGTGCCCGGCAAGACTCAGTCCATTTTCAAATTGTTCTATTGACTTAAAAATGTGTTTTTATGGCTGGGCGTGGTGGCCCAGGGGTGTAAATCCCAGCACTTTGGGAGGCCAAGGTGGGAGGATCGCTTAAACCCAGGAGTTCCAGACCAGCCTGGGCGATATAATGAGACTCCATCTCTACAAAAAAAAAAAAAAAGAAAATAGAAAAAAATTAGTCAACCATGGTAGTGTGTGCCTGTAGTCCCAGCTACTCGGGAGGCTGAGGTGGAAGGATTGCTTGAGCCCAGGAGGTCGAGGCTGCAGTGAGCTGTGATCAAGCCACTTCACTCCAGCCCTGGTGACAGAGTAAGACCCTCTCTCAAAAGTAAATAAAATATAAACGGTTGGGCACGGTGTCTCATGCCTGTAATCCTAGTACTTTGGGAGGCCCAGGCAGGCGGATTGCCTGAGCTTAGGAGTTCGAGACCAGCCTGGGCAACATGGCAAAACCCAGTCTCTACTAAAAAACTACATAAAATTAGCCAGGCGTGCTGGCGCATGCCCATAGTCTCAGCTACTCAGGAGGCTGAGGCATAAGAATTGCTTGAGCCTGGGAGGCGGAGATTACTGTAAGCCAAGATCGTGCTATTGCACTACAGCCTGTGTGAGAGCGGAAGACCCTGTCTATTGACATACATATATACATACATACATATATAAAATATGAAAATGTTTTCTTACATTTGGTTTGTTAAAATCAAGACCTAAATAAGATGCTTCTTATATTTGCTTGTTATGTTTCTTAAGTCTTTCAAAAAATTTTTTTTCTATATCACATCATCAAGCAATAAAATTTTTTACTATGGAAATTTTCAAACATACATCAAAATGGAGAAAATTTTATAAGAAATCCCATGTACCCGGCTGGGTGGTGGCTCATGCCTGTAATCCTAGCACTGTGGGAGGCTGAGGCGGGCAGATCACCTAAGGTCAGGTGTTCGAGACCAGCCTGGCCAACATGGTGAAACCCCTCCTCTATTAAAAATACAAAAATTAGTAGGGCATGGTGGTGCATGCCTGTAATCCTAGCTACTCAGGAGGCTGAGGCAGGAGAATTGCTTGAACCTGGGAAGCGGAGGTTGCAGTGATCTGAGAGCATGCCATTACACTCCAGCTTCGGCACAGAGCAAAACTCCATCAGGAGAGGAGAGGAGAGGAGAGGAGAGGAGAGGGAAGGGAGAAAGGAAGGGAGAAAGGGAGGAAGGGAGGAAGAGAGGAAGGGAGGAAGGGAGGAAGGGAGGAAGGAAGGAAGGAAGGAAGGAAGGAAGGAAGGAAGGAATCCCATGTACCCATCACCTTGCTCTAATAATTTTCAATATTTTGCCAATCTGGTTTTATCTATTCTTTTACATACACATACAAACACACGTATATACTTTTTAAAAAATTGAACTAAAATATATATAACAAAGTTTCCCATCATGTCCATTTTTAGGTGTACAATTTGGTGGCATTGAGTGCATTCACAATGTTCTACAAGTATCACCACTATCCATTTCCAGAACTTTTTCATCTTTCCAAACAGAAATTCTATACCCATTAAACAATAACTCTCCCTTCACCACTCTCCCCAGCCCCTGGAGATCTCTATTCCATTTTCTGTCTCTACAAATTTGCCTATTTTAAGTACCACACATAAGTGAAATCATGTATTTGCCCTTTTGTATCTGGCTTATTTCACTTAGCATGATGTCTTCAAGGTTCATCCATGTGGTAGTAGCAGAACTTCCTTCCTTTTTAAGACTAGCATACTCACAATGTTTGTTTGTTTGTTTGCTTGTTTTTGAGATGGAGTCTCGCTCTGTTGCCCAGGCTGTAGTGCAGTGGTGCCATCTCAGCTCACTGCAGCCACTGCCTCCCGGGTTTAAGGGATTCTCATACCTCAGCCTCCCGAGTAGCTGGGATTACAGGCATGTGCCACCAAACCTGGCTAATTTTTGTATCTTTAGTAGGGACAGGGTTTTGCCATATTGGCCAGGCTTGTCTCAAACTCCTGGCCTCAAGTGATCCTCCCTCCTTGGCCTCCGAAAGTGCTGGGATTATAGGTATGAGCCACTGCACCTGGCTTATCATACTCACACTTTTAAGTCAGATTCAGGTTTAACTGTTTTAACAAAAATACTTCATAGGTGGTGCTGTGTATTTTATATCACATCAAATAATGAGGCACACAAAGTCTGGCTGTCTCACTGAAGTGATACTAAGACAATGGCTTTAGTTATTTACAACATGATCCCTCCATTTTGAAGTTCCCCTTCACCCTTTTTTTGTCGCTTTTTTAATCTCTTTTTCTGTTAGAGACAGTCTCTCTCTGTCACTCAGGCTGGAGTGCAGCGGTGCAATCACAGCTTATTACAGCCTCCATCTCCTGGGCTCAAGTGATCCTCCTACCTCAGCCTCCCAAGTAGCTGGGACCACAGGCACACCCAGCATTTTAAAATTTTTTTGTTGCCTAGGCTGGTCTCAAACTCCTGAGCTCAAGCAATCCTCCCATTTTGGTCTCCCAAAGTGCTGGGATTATAGGCATGAGCCACCGTACCTGGCCCCATTTCACCTTTCTGTCTAATGGTGTCATCCACTGAAGATAGTTAAATGGATCTGTCATTTCATTACAGGCTAAAAAATTGTAATTTTCTAATTCTGTTAAGCCTCCTGCATTTATTAGCTGGAATTCTGTAAAATGAAATTTGCACTCATCACCTAGGGCTACTTGGTTATCCTGAACTGGATACGGTTCATGGAGGAAAGGAAGAATATATTATATTTTTTCCATTTGTTTGATGATTTGCAGAGTAATGAATTGGTGCCCTATTTTTTTCTAATGTTCCATGTGTTTTATTTCCTTGGAGGTAGGGAGGGAGGGCCCTCTCTCTATCATGCATCGTTATACACTTCTGAATTTTTATATATTCATTATGTTTCAATCATCTCATTTCTTATTTTTTTCTTCTTCTTCTTATATTTTGCTCTTTCACCCAGGCTAGAGTGAAGTGGCGTGATCTTGGCTCACTGCAACCTCCACCCCCCAGGTTCAGGTGATTCTCCTGCCTCAGCCTCCCAAGTAGTTGAGATTACAGGCGCCCGCCATCACACCCAGCTAATTGTATTTTTAGTAGAGATGGGGTTTTGCCATGTTGGCCAGGCTGGTCTCGAACTCCTGACCTCAGGTGATCTACCCACTTCGGCCTCCCAAAGTGCGAGGATTACAGGTGTGAACTACTGCACCCGGCCTCATTTCTTATTTTTTTCTGATGCTCAAGTTGTCCCATCTTTGGTTACTGGGAGCTCCTTCATGTGGGTTCCTGTGCCCCTTACTTAGGGCCCTGTCCTTGCTTTCTGGAATAAACTGTTTCAGACTCATTTTGCATATGTCCTGCCCCAGACCTAGAATCAGCCATGCCTCTAAGGAACGTTGGTCCCTTTTAGTGGGGAATGAATATGCATCTTTTAAAATTAACTTACTCTCAGCTCATTTACATGACTCTCCAATATCAGCTCAATATCATGACTTACATGATATCAAAATTGCTAACACTGTCAATTCACTGAGTGCTTACTGTGTGCAAAGCACTGTTTTAAGTAAGAAAAAGACCAAGAGTAACAAGGCATAGTCCTTGCCTTCCAGGGGTTCACAATCTAATGGAAGAGAGAGTCACATCACGAGTAACTACTACCATACACAGCCAACCTGTGAGAAGAATATAGTAGAACTCTGAAGTCTGGATACAATTCAAACTCCTTAGCCTTGCATATAGGGCCTTTTATGCTCTGTTCTCATAAGTACTGAGACTACTTATGATCAGTAGTCTCTATCTTATCTTATTTATCCATTCATTCCAGGGTCCCTGCCCTTAAGGAATGTATTGCATAACAGGGCAGCAAATAATGAAACAGGCCATCATAATGCAGACTGGTAAGTACTACAAGATGTGTGAGCAGGCCAGGCGTGGTGGCTCAACTCTGTAATCCCAGCACTTTGGGAGCTGAAGAGAGAGGATCATGAGGTCAGGAGTTTGAGACCAGCCTGGCCAACATGGTGAAACCCAGTCTCTACTAAAAATAAAAAAATTAGCTAGGCATGGTGGCGGGTGCCTGTAATCCCAGCTACTCGGGAAGCTGATGCAGAATTGCTTGAACCCAGGAGGCGGAGCTTACAGTGAGCCGAGATTGCGCCGCTGCACTCCAGCCTGGGCAACAGAGCAAGACTTTGTCTCCAAAAAAAAAAACAAAAACAAAAACAGAAAGAAAAAAAAAAGTGTGAACATAGGACGTTATGTTCTGGAGTGTCAAGAAAGATTTTCAGAGAAAATGATCAATAAGCTGAGACTCGAAGAGCTGAAGTTATTCAGGAAGAGGAAGAAGAGTACAGTAGTGTTCCAGAAGAGGTGCCATCATGATAGGCTCCAGAGGGAAGAGAACAGGGAGCTTCCTGAGAATTGTGAGAAGTTCATTTGGAGCAGGAGCTTAGGGCAAGAGTGAGGATGGTTACAACAGTTGAGGACAGAAACATAAAAAGAGATGTCACACACATTTTTTGTACGCTGTTTAGCCTTTCACCTAAGGGCAGTGGGAAGCCATTCAAAGGCTTCCCAGGAGGAGTTACATGATCAGATTTGTGCTTCAGAAGGATTCCTCTGTTGTAACGGAGAATGGGCTGGAGAGGAGCAAGAGTGAAGGCAGACAGACCAGCCAGGAAAACACTGTAGGAGCCCAGAACTGAGATAACTGGGCCTGAGCGAGTGGCCATGGAAAGAAGTGGACGTTATCCAGAGATAGTAAAGGAGCAATAAATAAGGCATGCGGTGAGTGGCTGGATGCCGGAAATGGTGAAGGGGAGAGAGGAGGCAAGGGTGACTTCAAGGACTCTGGCTTAGGTGATCTGGGGATAATGACATCATTCCCTGTGTTAGGAAACACAAGAGGAAAGTCAGGTTCCAGAGGGAAGATGCTGAGTTCTCTTTTGAATATATTGACTTTAAGGTTCCTATGAGACATACAGAAGATGTCCAGTGGATACTTGTGTTTGCGGACTTAACTGTCAGGGCAGGCAGATGAGGTAGAGATATAATTGTGATAGCCGCACATACAACACAGAGTTAGGGGAGGCAAAGAGGGTCGGGCGCGGTGGCTCACACATGTAATCCCAGCACTTTGGGAAGCCGAGGCAGGAGGATCACCTGAGATCAGACCAATCTAACCAACCTGGCCAACATGGCAAAACTCCTGTCTCCACTAAAAAATACAAAAATTAGCCGGGTTTAGTGGCGGGCACCTGGAGTCCTAGCTACTCAGGAGGCTGAGGCAGGAGAATCTCTTGAGCCCAGGAGGTGGAGGTTGCAGTGAGCCAAGATTATGCCACTGCACTCCAGCCTGGGAAACAGCGAGACTCAGTCTCAAAAAGAGGAGAGAAAAATCCCCCATGGAACTTTATCATACATCATCACTTCTTACCTATATGGCTTTTGACTTCCAATAGCGGGACTGAACTTACTAACATAGAAGGGATCTTGTAAAAGGGTAGCTTTCTGAAAAAGGAAAAAGTAGAAATTGTTAGAATTTTTATTTACTGAAGATCAATTCCCCCTACCTTTAGTCAATATTATATATCTATTTTTTAAGCCCTCCTATAGTACACGATTTGTTTATAAAGCTCATTCAAGTGTTTCACAATACCACAGGGAATTTTTTCTTATCTAGTTTTTAAAAAGTTTTAAATATAACACTTGCTCATTATAAAATGAAATCATTTATCAAAATCACACAGTTTAGATAAAGGAAAGGATAAAGGTTCTCTATTTTTCCCTACCCCTTCCATCCCACTATGCAACGTGTCTGATCATGGAGCCAGGTGCCATGGCTTGCACCTGTAATCTCAGCTACTTTGGAGGCTGAAGCAGGTGGATCACATGAGTCCAGGAGCTGGAAGCTGTAGGGAGTTATGATTGTGCCACTACACTCCAGCCTGGGCAACAGAGCAAGACCTTGTGTCTAACATTTTTTAAAGTATTTATCATCTGTTTGATTTAGGACCTTCCAGGCATATAAAGACATATGAATTATAAACACATAAATTTATAGTATTTATATATTTTTATAATATATATTTAATCCTAAATTATATCACATATATTAATCTGGAACTTGATTTAACTTAATATATGGTGGATGGTTTTTCATGTCTGTGTATATAGATTTTCCAATTGATGGCCCGGCGGGTGGCTCACGCTTGTAATCCCAGCACTTTGGGAGGCCGAGGTGGGCGGATCATGAGGTCAGGAGTTCGAGACCAGCCTGGCCAACATGGTGAAACCCTGTCTCTACTAATAATACAAAAATTAGCTGGGCATGGTGGCACATGCCTGTAATCCCAGCTACTCGGGAGGCTGAGGCAGGAGAATCGCTTGAACCTGGGAGGCGGAGGTTGCAGTGAGCCAAGATTGCACCACCGCACTCCAGCCTGGGCGACAGAGGGAGACTCTGTCTCAAAAAAAAAAAAAGAAAAAAAAAAGTGTGAACATAGGACGTTATGTTCTGGAGTGTCAAGAAAGATTTTCAGAGAAAATGATCAATAAGCTGAGACTCGAAGAGC